CACACACACACACACACACACACACACACACACACACACACACACAGCGAGGGACACTTGAGGAAACGGTCCAGCAGTGTTTAATTCATGTTATTTGTTTAAAAGGATTGTTGTCTGAGGCCAGTAAAATCCAGCTCAACAGCTGGTTTATTGAGGCTCAGCTGATGTTCAGGCTTTTTTCTAGAACCACAGTTAACAAAAAATTAAAAGTTTATCCAACAATCCAGCCATAATTATTGTTGTTTTGTTTATATATTTATATGAGCTTTGAGAGGATAGAGGGAGGAGTTATAATAATTTATGACATGCTGCAGCTTCAACCACAAAACTGCTGTCTCACTTCATATTGAAGCACAGCACAGTTCAAATTTACGCTCTTATTTTGAAGTGAGTGAAGACGGTCGGCTTCCTTTATCCAGAATGCATCGCTTCAGTTCTCCAATAATAAACCAATAACAGCCCTTCTCCAACAAACAGTTTAAATGACTAATATACATGTTTTCTTACTGAAGCCCTATCTACCATAAACATAAGAAAAATGACCAAGAAGCAGCAGAACTTGCAGTCCACAACAACTTTTTATTTTAACACCATGGGTCAAAAGTCTCTTTCTGTAAATAACTTCCTCACCGCAATGAAGTAAGGTATGGGTTGAAAGCAATTTATCATGCCACTAGATGGCAGTATTGTGCAAGAATGCTCATGTTTTCACTGGAAATTAATACTCTGGTGAACTGAGTTGAATGTGCGGAATTGATTTAGCTTCTGCTAAAATTATTATGACATGTGCGCTTTAGAACTTGCGGACCTAAATAAATTAATTAGCGCTTTTGAATTTGCGGAGCTAACTTTTGATTTAGCGCTGCCCACCACTGGTGGAGACTAAAAACACCTTCTTGACCAAGCCTAGTGAAATAGCTAATTATTTCAATGATTTATTTATTGACAAGTTTGCTAAATAAAGGCTAGGTATTCTTTAAAATAATAAAATGGTGCAAAACAACAGTTTTAAAGAACTAGCTCAAGATAAATTTCGCTTGAAGAAAATCAATACAAAACAAGTGGAAACACAACTCGGTTCTATAGATATTAATAAACCTGGAGGTATGGATGAAATTGATGGGAAACTTTTGAAGTTAGCAGCAAATTGTATAGCTAGTCCTGTTTGTCATATTTTTAATACAAGTGTAGAGGTCACCTCGAGTGAAGAAACAATATTTTCTGCCTTTAAGCAGGCCTCGGACCGGCCTGAGAAGAGGACAGGAACTCTGTCACAAACTGAACTCTATTT